CGGCGCGATAGACGGATCACGGTCACGATGCAACGACGACGCCAGCTGACGTCGACCGCGGGGGAAAGGGGATTCCGTTTATCAATGACGTGCTAGTGCTGGTAGACAACATGACAGTTCAGCTGGACATGATGGTGACAATTCGGTGGGAGCAACGTCTTGTTGATGACGTCATATCGACGGTGAAACTACGAAACCACGTATCTCGTTTGCGGTGTTTAAAAATCTACGCTCGCATTTTATTTTTTTGAAGTAGACCAAATCAATATCATTCCTTGAAATTTTCACAGAATTTTCTCCGCGTGAAGAGGAAAAATTACAGAAATTTTCAAGACTGGACGTTAAGTAGTTTTTCATTTAAAAAATGAAGTATGACAGGAAGTCCCCAGATGGCACACAAAGTACTGTGAACGTTCAATCACTGTTCTGTGATTTTGGAAACCAGCCGAATGTTCATAGAATGTTCATGGAACATTCCGAGCTCTTCTTGTACTTTTGAATATTTCAGAATATATGATCATTCCAAAATTTATAGATAGCGATACTGAAATATCAAAAATTTCCGACATTTATGAATTCATTATTCGTCCCTCCTGCATAAGCATTTATGAACCGATCGATTGCTGCTATCGCGGTTGCGGCCATGTCTACGTCACTGATCGTTTCCAGGTTGGTTGCCTGTCGTTCGCAAGGCGGATAAAGAATGGTGGTCGCATTTCGATTTTGGCTGCCATCTTGAAACGTTGTGACGTCAGGAGGGTACGGGTTATGCCGTGCAATCCGAGGTTGAGTCGGCCCCCCGGCCTCGGCCAGCCCATGTACCCGATGTACCCGATACCGTGTGACGTCCAGAGGGTACGAAATGCGACCACCATTCTTTATCCGCCTTGTGTCGTTCGGTGTCAGTGTGAGTTTATCTGTGTCGGTATGTCGGATCAGTGATCAGTCATCGGAATAGCAAGCAGTGGAAAGAGGAAAATCTTGTGGATAAAGTAAGTATTCCTCTGTAATAATAATAGTAAATTACTTTACATTTGTTTGTGCACTTAAGTGTGTCAATGTACACGGCAACAGTGTCCGCCCAGCAGGATGAGTACAGATCATGGCGTGTTTAGGATTTCGTCGAGTGTCCATTCGTCCAATTCGTCTCCTCAGAAATCCCTCCAACACGGTTTCAGTTATGTTGTTAAACATTTTTCCGTGATTTAATTTGTTTTCAGTCATTCGAAATCGGGTTTGCCTCAGTTCCTTATTTCAAGTTCGTATTACGCTTTTTGTCTCTATCGTCGCGTCACCGGCGGCATGTGGCCTATTTCACCGTCGCACATCGTGTGAATTTAAAGTTTTATTTTCGTCAATCGCGACTCCTGCCTATTTGTTCGTTGTTAACGTCACGTTTCATTCCATTCCGCCATCCGAAACGTCTAATTTGTTTAGTTTACCTTTTCAGTGAAGGTCAGCCTGCCCAGGTAACCGGTGTTAAACTCAAAACGAACACTAAATTTAGTACGTATCAAGTGCTAACGTCGAAGTCTATCAAATCAAATTTTATCACCGTCTTGAGTCAATCATCGCTCATAATCCATCCCCTCGTCAAGCTCATTTTGTCTCCACAGCAATCCCATTAACATCAACAGTGCTGTTCCCTCAGCCTTGCGACGTCCTAGCTTTCCTATCCTCCATTCCGTAGTTCCTTCGTTTTCCCTTCCCTGTATATTGTGTTAGTTCGGGATGAATGAACGGAGAAAGTGCTCTCGAAAATCTTACGCTCAAGTCAGTAAAAGTACCAAGTATAGAAGAATTGAAGAAATTGAAAAGGCAGAGCAAGAATCCTTTTCCGATGAGGAGGAAGCATCGTTGAATTTATCATCATTTGTCAGTCAGGAAGGTGAAAGTTCTGGTACTACTCATAATGTTATTGTTTGTGGTTCCGTTGATGATGAGAAGTCTGATATAGCCTTTCCTCCCACCAGTCCAAGTCTTAGTGAGTCGGATAGCTTTGGTTATGATAGTGACGGTGCCCGAGGAGATTCCCCAGGTTTACATTCAGTTTACGAATCGTCGGATTCGGATGCAAGTTTTGTAAATTTTGACTCTGATTGGGATGAATTCTCTGATTTAGATAGTGATGGAGCGGATCTGTTTGAGGAAAATATTGACGTACCTATACCTAGTCTATTAGATAACTTGCGGATCTGGGGAGTAAAGTATAAAATTACGAAAGCTGCTTTATCTGCGTTGCTTAGAATTTTGAAATCTTCTGATCCTATCGAACTTAATACTTTACCATATTGGATGGTAGAACCGTAATGAAAACCCCTCGTCATGTAAATGTTAAGAATTTGGAGAAAGCAGGTGGCGAATATTATCATTTTGGATTATTGAAAGCCATTCAAAATGCCCTAGAACGAACTCGAGAGAAAGTCACGAATATTGTCATGGTAGCAGGCATTAATGGTCTACCACTGTTCAAGAGTAGTGGTGTACATTTCACTCCCATTCTCGGTAAAATAATTTCAATCCCGGATATTCGCCATCATGTTTTCCCAATTGCCATTCATTGTGGAGATACTGACAAACCGCAGGACGCGGAGGAATTCTTGCGTCCGTTCATTGATGAGGTTACAGATCTGATTAAAAACGGAGTAAAGTTCAAAGGCAATGTATACAAATTTATTTTGAAAGGTTTTTCTTGCGATTGCCCTGCAAAATCCTTCGTGTTATCTTCTATTGCCAGCAATGGCAAATATGGTTGTACTAAGTGTGTTCAAGAAGGTGTCTGGTCTCATCTTTGTCGAAGGACTTTTTTCCCAGAAGTTGATGCACGTTTGAAAACGCATGAAGATTTTGTTAACAAAACTGTGCCTCAGTTTCACCTGGGTGACTCGCCTCTGCTTAGAATACCTGGCATAGACTTGGTCAATGATTTTCCTCTTGACTACCTTCATTTAGTGTGCGTTGGTGTAGTGAAAACGCTTGTTAAGTTATGGGTATTCACTTCCAAAAACAATGCCAAACTTTCTGATGATCTAATTTCTCAGGCCTCAGGAAAAATGTTACTTTATGAGAAATTCATTCCTTCTGAATTCGCTCGTAGGTCTAGAGCCATGGAAGACATCAAGAGGTGGAAAGCCACCGAGCTTCGTTTGTTTGGCTGTTACTTAGGCCCCTATGTGTTAGATGGTATCCTTGGTGAACTGCGTCTCGGTAATTTTGTTTTGTTGTATGCCAGCCTCAGATTATTATTGAACCCTATTAAGTGTAAAGAGTACAAAGAAATTGCAACTGAAATGCTTGTTGAATTTGTAGAAAATTGCAAAATAGCTTATGCGGACAATCTCCTAACCCACAACTTCCACAACTTGGTACACTTGCCGAGGAATCTTGATTCATTTGACAATATGGAAGATTGTAGTACCTTTGATTTTGAAGCTTTCTTATATTATTTGAAGCAGACTGTTGTCAAAGGCGATAAACCATTGCAACAGTGTGTGAAACGTATCGAAGAAGCAGATGCTTGTCCACCTTTACTGCCTTCAAAGAAACCCGATTTCCCACGGTGCTCAATGCCGTACCGTTGTCGTGGGCCATTTTTAGAAGGATGTGCTCGTCCCACTTATCAAACAGTGCATTTTCCAACCTTTAAACTTTCTGTCTTTGCTAGGGATAGTTGTTTCACGACTTTGGATGGCAGCATATTTGTCTTGCGGAATATTTGCACTGCTTCTGAATCAAATGACATTCTTCTTGTCGGACGGAAGTTTTTACAAAAAGAAAATGCTTTTAACACTCCTTGCCCGAGTTCGGATCTGAAGATTTACATTGTATCAAACTTATCAGAAATGATTGTTGTACCTGTTTGTGACGTTCAGTACAAGAACATGTTGTTGCCATTCCGATCAAAATTTGTGGCCCAGCCAATTTTACACACTCTATTATAATTTCATACCACAAGCTCTCCCTCCACGATCAATTTCTCATTCATTCACACTTTATGGGCCCAGGAAATTGATATCACATGCTGAACTCCAAGAAAGGCTTCATCAACTACTTCTGACTTTAATGAGCGTTTGTGCCAAGTTAGATTTTAAGAAATTTCTCTGTAGGTCGCGTTAAGCATTTTTAAATTTTCGTATTATACGGTACTTATCAATTCTTCCTCTCATTTAGTTCACGATTTGTTTGTTTTTTGATCATTAGAGCCTCAGGAAAAGGTGAATGAAAGATCAACCCTGGTTTTTTGTTGCAAAGCTGTTTCAGTAATTTAGTAAAGTATATTAAAGATACATTTGAAAATTCCAAACTCTCACTGTCTCTAACCCTTTCAATGACCAATCCTGTCCCCTACTTTTCCTCTAATTCCTAATGATTTTGAAGGAAACTATTAATATTTTGGCAAGCACACTTTGCAAGTATACAAGTGAGTAATAATAATCTTTTTTAGTTTGCGCTTATTTTTGGTTTTGTCTTTGATGAACATGTTTTTATGCTTCAATAGACAAAAACGACAAGATTTCACTATCGATCACGAGTCAGTTTTCACAACATTTGCATGCAAAGGTCAGGAAAGAATTGGGAATTCGTTAATTAATGAAATTTGGTCCAGAACCTTGCATTATTCAATTTCAAATGATGGCACTTGAGTTAAATTTTCATTAAGTTTCCTTGCTGAACTGAGTGTTCTTATTTACTCTTAGATCTTTGCTTCATTGAGTAACTTTTCTCATAATTCCTCAAAGACTTGAACTTATCTTAGTTTCCTTCTTTCAACATAGAATCAGTTGGAAGCTAGTTATTTCGGAACATGTTTTGGTGATTATATGCTGTTGTTGAAAACTGAAAATTTTGGAGATAATATCAGGAAATACAAGTCATAATAACCAAACCTTAGTTTTTCTCTGAGTTATAGTCTGATTTTTCTTCTGTGCATTTGCTCATCATTAAATAATCTGTACTTTAATCATGGACCTTCACTAATTCTATAAATTTCTTTTCGACAGATTCATAACATGGCAACATTTTGTGTCGTCATTTTTCCATGTGACAACACTGTTGATATCGTTCGGGAGTCTTGGCTTTGTGGGCTCAATGATGACTTTGAGGAATTGTGCAAATTCCCCCCTGTAAAAGGGGATAGGAAGAAACTCCAAAATCTGCTGCTCCAGCAGGAGGAACCTCATCCATCGTGGCAAGAATATGTGATAGTTGCCAAGCGAACTGGTATCGGTAAGAATTACTTTCATTTCCTCAAAGGTGCATTTCTCTCTTTTTTGCAGGAGCCTATTCTTAAGAAAAATACTGGACTTCAGCCACCCAATTGAGTGTTTTATTCATACTGTTTTAAAGCATATGTAGGACTTGAATCGAAAAACATTGGACTTTGTGCGATAACATATTTCATATTGTTAGCGCTTATAACTTTTTGAAAACTCAATGGATCTCAATGAAACGCTTCCACTTTGTGGTCCTCATTTAGATGTAGGTACCTATAGACACCAAGATCGTTGGAATCCGTGCCTTTGTTTGAGCTGCAGTTGAATGGAAACCGAATCAAATTTCAGATTAAGGGAGTTATGTGTGACAAAGAGTGTCTGCCACCCTTTGCTATCGGGACTTCAGTAGGACGTCATTTTCCTCGATCGGGGGTGGCTACCGCCACTCTTGATGAAACATCAGTGGTTGCCAAATTTATTTGATAACATTAAAGATATTCAATCGTGCAAACTTTTTTAAGGTAAGGAAAAAATTAAATCACCGTACCTTCTGCTTTTTTTCTTTCTGCTGGTCACATTTTCAAAATATGTGGTCACTCGAAAGCTTCCGTCTTTTTTGTCCTGAGCATTTTTCAAAATATATGCTACAAGAATTTCTTTTCCTGATTGCAGAGTCATACTCAGAGGCAGTCCGCTTACTAAAAATAATACAAGAGGACGAAGATGGAGTTACTACAGACCCCGAGCAACTCGGCCGTGGTTGGCGGAGCCCCAAACGGAA